GAATCATGGCATGGTTTGGGTTGGAAGATCATCTAGTTGAAACCTCCCGGGCACAGGCAGGGACACCTTCCACTAGGCCAGGTTGCTCAAACTCCCCTCCAACCTGGCCTTGAACACTGCCAGGGATGGGGCATATCATACAAGACTGCTTGCAGGAAAGCAAACTGTTTAAGAGACCCTTACTAAAGTTGATTCTCTAGCATGAGCAGAGGCATTTTTTCAAAAGACCTGATGATCAGAAGAGACTTTGCCTGCGCTTAGTGGAAAAGGCCTTTCCCCCTGGGCCAGGAGTCCTGAGCCCACCTTAAGGACCGCCTGCTCAGTGAGGGCACCCACCTCTTCAAGGGCTCCTGCTGCAGATGTGGATCAGGAAGCTCCCCCACCCAGGTTTGTCCCAGCTTTCATAAGATCAACCTTCTGGTTAAAGCTCTCCCTATTTTTTGTAGAAATACGCTTATTTCTAAGGTTTTTTGTGGCTGGGAGGATTGTTTGGTTTACTGGGGTTTGGGGTTTTTTTTTAAGTGATGCTAATACTCTATTTTGTGCTGCAAGAGGTCAGCAGAAAAATGTAACACACAAACAAAATTTTACCGAAGAAGGGACTTCAACCAAGAGCACTGCAGTTCTCAGCCTTGTGAAGCTGCAGCCACAGGCTCGTCTAAAATTCACTAGAGAGAAAAAAAAAGAAATCCGAGAAGTTTAGGTTTGGACAGTTCCTAGTTTAATGCTTAATACAATGTTTTATTCTTTTTGCCACTTAGGGCTTTGTCATATACAGAGCAGACGCTGTATCACCAACATCTAAAGTTTCATTACCAGCTTCACTCACAGCAGATTTGAGGCCCTGGAAATTTTTTCAATGGGATTTAAATAAAACTACTAAATTTCAGATATGTTTCTGTTTGAAAACAGTAATTAGGCAACTTTGGTTTCACAAGCTCTGAAAAAATTACATAGAACTGTTGGACGGGAATACATATTTGCATTAATGTCAATGAAGGTCACAGGGCTGAGAAAAATTTTTTACTTCTCTTAAATCCACTGGGAACCAAACACATCCCCTTAGAAAACTGGGGAGTGTGGGGGTCCATGTGTCAGCTTTGCATAAGGGACAAGAGACCTTAGTTACCTGTAATGTAAAGGTATCAGCGTAGGATTCTCACCCTTGATCTTCAACAAATTGAGCTACACTTGACAAAATACCTCCAACATTTCTTATTGTTGAAGTAGCACTAACAGGCTGTCCGCAATGGCATCCAGCCCGCAGCCGCACTGGGCAGTATTTTGCAGCATGTCAGCTCCCAAACAGGGTAGTAGAACAGCTGCTGACACTAAACTGAAAAAGCAAGCATGTTCTTCCCCATCTATGCCCATTCTCCTCATTTCTCTGCCCTTTCCAAGAAGACCTAAGCCTCCACCAACACACATCCCTTCCCCCCCCCACCCCCCAAATCACAAGCAGGCAAACAAACTTGACAATCTCTTTCTTAATTTAGAGATATCACTAACATGGCATTTTCATCCCTGGGGTGTAAGCAATGGGAAAGATGTCTCAAACCCTAGCATTAGGGAACGCACATACTAAACAGGTACCAGAACAAGACAGGAATAAGCCATTGCCGAGTTTTCAGCTAATGCTGGATAACGCCCAAATGACACCAGGCATCTGGAAGTTGTCTGCACTATGCACAGGCAAATTGTTTTCAGAATTAAACAAAAATCAAATAAGAAAAGAAAAAAGCTCTAGAGACAATTAGAATAGAGAAAATAGACTTTGCATTACTGAAAGAACAGTCAGTTCATGCCCACAGACAAATTCCAAATCGTGTTTCGCAACCACTATTGAAAAGGCCATCTGGCTACACTGTGGGCCCTGCACTAAACTGGATCCTGAAATCCAGTTTTTCTTCACACTGAAGATTTTTCATAGGCTGGCTTCAAGGGTAAATTTCAAGAAGTTTCTAACAGAAGTAGGAAAGCAAAAAGTCACCTATACAAGGGACTTTGAACATTTCTTCATGAATCTAATAGTTTTGGTAATTTCTGAGAGTGGATCAGGTGGTAGTTAGCACACTGAACTCAGCCCAAGGAAATAACAACTGCAAATCACGGTGAGTCATGTCATTTGAAAGCAAAGCTTCCTTTGAGGCAGAGGAGAGCAACCTTTCCTGAGGGAATAACGGGAGAAACCATGCAATGGTAAAACCGTACACCAACCACTGAAACAACACGCCAAGCTACTGTAAGACCTTGTGTGCAGGCGTCAAACAGCAACCTCCCATTTCAGTGTTTGCAATGTCAATCTGAAATTCCCGCGTAAATCCTACAGCAATATCCAGAACCCTCAAGATGCAGCAATAAGTCCCTGACTGGGAAACACCAAGAGCAAGAGCTAGGCCTGAAAATACTCAGGCGAACTTAGCACTTCCTCAGTGCTTTCTCTCTTCAGTGCTTTCTGTAAGAAAGGAGACTGCGCTGGAGAAAGAGTTCAGTTAGAACAGCAACACTGGATCAAAGCCACTCAAACCATGATTTTTAAAGTAAATAAAGCCAAAAAGCCACTACAAACTGATGAAGGCTGAAAGCTCGCTTGCACCATGGTGAGAGGGGCAGGCCTTGGCACGCTCGGTTAAAAGTGAGAGGCAGCTCCTGATGCCCACAGGGGCATTCACCGTCTGTGCCTTCTCCTGCTTCTGCCAGTCTAAACCTAGAGCAGTGGAAGACCTACTGCTCCATTGTGGTATCAAAATCTTTAAGCTGAAGGATTAAGAAGACAGTACTTTAAAAGCACTTTTTAAAGACAGTATTTAAAAAAAAAAAAATTCCATAAAGACCTTTTGTGAACAATGCAAGAACACACACACAAAACCCAAAAAACAACCAAAAAACCAAAAACCAACAAACAAGTATTTTAATCAACATTTTCATGCATTGAACATTTCTCTAAAATGCCAAAACTATTTCAAAATGAGACTCATGTCCCTGGCTGGACTTACTGCACCAGAAAAGTGGTCAAAGCTCAGCCTGTGCATAGAAGAAACCTCCACAAAGCAAACAGGACAGTGAATATTCCATATTGTCTTAAACCAGACACTCCTTGTCGCAGAACGCTATATTGTGAGAGTATAGTGTGTGATAAAGCCAAAATAATGAAACCATAGTCTTGAGTGAAGATCTTTCCAGGACATGATTTGCTTTTCCTTTGACACATTTCAAACTGACACACCAGTAAACGGAGCACTGAAAGCCAGCTCCCTCCAACCCCACCAAAAGGTATTTCATTCTTTCAATCAAACAGGGTTTTTACACCATATCCTTCTAAGCTAGAGCAAATGTCACAAAGCTTTAAATTTCTCTCTGGACGGGTTTCTGAACTGTCATTGCTGGTTATTATTAGTAGGCACAAAAATTCCCATTTTAATTAGAAACTTTATTTTGAAATACATTACACAGTTTACATGTGAAGTGCTTGCACTGTCAGATATTTCAAAACATTGTGCTGAGCAAAATGGCTGACCAATTTCCTTGAAGCTCTTCCAGTTATGTTTTGTTTTTATTAAAACTATCTTACAGAAGTGAGATGCAACTTAGGCATTTGTATTCAGAAGCTAATTACTACATTTACCTTAGGGAGAAAGTATATACTTCACTGTTCCAATAACTATGTGCTTCAAGAATGGCATTAAGTATTTGGCATAAGACTAAAGGAAACCTGAGTCCTAATTAAACTTGTATTCACCAAAGATTAAAAAAAAAGAAAAAAAAAAAAAAGAAAAAAAGAAAAACCTTTGTGATAAAACTACTTTTTTTAATAAGGCACAGTCAGACAAGTATTTATAGACTGGCTACCAATTCACTTCTACCAGCACAGCCTTCCTGCTGGTCTGTCAAAAGTAATTTGAAAGTTCTTTTCCCTGTCTGCTGCTGAGACTTTCCAAGAACAAGGCAGAGCAATAAGGCAACTAAAACAAACATGTAAAGGAGTCTGGCATTTGAACTGGATTCTGAACACCTGCAAAGTAGTTCATTTTGTAAATGGAGCTTTCACCTGTTATTACTAAAATGGTGGCCAGCTATGATAAGGAAAATAGAAGTGGTGTAAGCAGCATCTGTATGAAAAAGGTTATTTCGATGAGATTACAACATGTATAGTATGCATTCAGGTGAAGACTTTGTATGCAGCAATTCCCACAACTTTCAAAGATAATCTAAATTGAATTCCAAAATTCCCCTCTGCCACTCAGAAAAACTGAATGTACCAAGAGGTTTGCTTGACAGTAGGTGAAATACCAGGGAATGAAATCTCCATTTAGACAATGAGCCAGAACTGTCATCCTACTTTGCATTTCTTATTAGAACGAAGTCTTCAGGAATGATAACTCAAATAATCACACCATTATTTTGGCTGGAAGAAAAATCAGGAACTCTAAGATGTGATGATATTTGAAGAACATGAAACAATTCTACCTACAGTCAAAGAATAAAGACTAAAAAATAAATAAAAGGCCTTACCTTCCCCTCCCAATTAAAACTCTGAAGAATAACTTTTTGAGCTTAGCACTGTATGGCTTCTGTGGCCTATGAATGCTTGATAGATACTCTTAAGAATTATCTTTTTCAAGCTACTGTTCATAATTTCAAATAAAAATACTGCATCTATTTCACTTTAATAATCAAACAGCATAAAATCATTAAAAGTGTATTTTTGATACAAATTTGTATCACATACTAAAAGATACTATTTTATAGATAGTTGTAAACCAAAAGAATTAGAATTATACAAAAGGTTTTTTAAGTTCTTTTGCACAGCTGAACTCATAGTGCAGGTTTAAGATAAAAAAATCTCTAAATGAAGTAGTCATAACAAATGTTGAGTATAAAATACATTCTGAAGTATTTTACAGAATGGCTAAATTATCAAGCATACGAACTGAGGATAAAGAATGTTAATGACAAGCAGCCACATACAGAACACAAAGCAATAAGTTTAAATCAGACTATTTTGGTTTGTGTAGCCCTTTATTAGCAACTAAAATAGAAGATATCTGTTGTACATCACGGGTAGTAACTGACTATACTGGAGTTTTATTATATTCTAATACAGGATCATTTATAAATGCATTGTTTTCCTTTTTTTTTTTTTCTCTTTCATTCAAGAGCTTCCACTCCTTTTCTGTTTACAACTTGCAAAACTAGTCTGAAAGCTGAGTATATGTGCACAGGTCTGCAAAGAGTGCAAATTTAGGATACGGTAAATGCTTTACATGTATTTTGTAAGGACTGTCTGCCACCATGTCTTCATAGCCATTATCTTCCCCCCCCCCCAAAGAAAAAAAAAATAAATCACAAAATGTTTTGATACCAGCCTTCCTTCCACTGTCCTAAACAAGAAAGCATTTTTAAATGAGTTGAAACTAAGGAAGGACTACACCTACTAGAAAAGAAGAGTTCTATTAGTTTGAGGTTTCAGTATACCCAAAGACCAGGGACCGTATCTTTGTAAGGGCTAGGCTGGGACCCCGTATACAGAGTGTGTGCAGGTGCCATCCCTGAGCATTCAGTGGTTCAGTGGACCATAAGTGCTCCAGCTGCATAACTCACTGAGCTGTCTTGCCAGTTTCGACACTGGCTTGACTGAGCATAATTCAAAAATGAAAAGCTCATATTCATCCCATTCTTCTGGAGCTCATTGATAGCCTGAAGAGAGAAAAAAAGTTGTTTAAAAAAAAGCTGTCAGTGAAATTATGACATTTTCTAGCTCTCAGTGCCATCCTCACCCCTCCCCTCCATGGATCTTTGGGCCACTCATCATAATAATATAAGCATCTCTTAGTAATTTGTGGACCTAACCCATTTCTGTGCCATTTCCTTCACTGATGCTGCCCCAGCTGTGCTATGGACATCCATGCAGTTCTACAAAGCAATATTAAAAAACCTTTCAAAACAGATCCTTTAGAAACAATGCTTTCAATTCTATGGGGAATTTATACAGAAACACAGACGTAACAGAAAAAAAACCAATGCTATTGTCACTTTTAAAATTATATTTTTTCCATTAAGGAAAAAGAATGTACCAAGATAATTTATTAAAGTGTGACAATCGGCAAAAGTGAATCAACAGAAATTAGCTCAGATTCACTGCAAAACTAATCATTATCTGAGGTTAAGAGTTGGATATTTTTGCAGGGTTTTCATAGTACTGGATTTTGCTACATGCATCCCCAATATTGACATTGCTCATACAAACATTTATAGGCTACACTTTAAAAGGTCCCTCTATATGTTCTTCATATAGACTACATTGCCAGTGAACTAAATCTTCCCTTTTTTAAAGGTTAACAGGCTTCCTGTTTCAGATTTGAAGTACATTAATAAATACATCAAGATTCACTCAAGCAATATGACAAATCTGCAGCATTCCAGCAGTACTGTAAAGCAGCTGTGATCTAATTCAGACAACTAAGTTAAGCCAGGTTTATGCCTGCACTGCATCACCAAAGCAGAATACAGTAACTAGAAAGTACCAGTTAATCTGAATTCTAATTGCCATTAATTTATGAGTTAACAGTGCACCACAATAATACTTACAGAAGCAATCTCTCATCATATTTACCCCAAAATGCTGCCAGACATCATAAGGCACTCACAATAGCTAGCTCATAGCAATACAGAAAAGCGATATACAGGTTTGTAAGTACTGATTCAAAAGATTAATTATGTACTTCTTCAGGGAGATGGATTTATTAATTTATTTAGGCCCAAGAGAAAGTGAATGATTGTATTTCATTGAAATTCAAAAGGAATAGGGTATCTCATCTCCCTTAAGGAACTGAAAACCCTCAGCCCTTTTAAGAGCTTACAGTTGTCTATAAGCAAGACATGGAAACTGGACAACAAACTGAGAACACTTGGAAAAATAAATTCACTCAAAATGTGCCATTTTAGAAGTATGGAATACTCCAGCAATGTTGTGTTTAAAATAAATGTAAGCATCTTGCTAAAAGTTACATTTTTCAACAAATCAAACATTACTTACGTTTAATAATACGCCAATAGGATGTCTTCCACATATTGTATTATGGTATTTCTTCAAGTAATTGCTAAAAGATACAGGATCTAGCTGCTCTATAATGCTCATACCCTGAAAAAGAATCAATAGCAATGATTACTTCATATATTCATAAGCAGGTGTTTATACATCACCTATTTATGACAACACAGAATACTTCAAGAGGAAAAAAACCTATACTTCGTATCAAGGATATCAAGGCAATCTCAGCATCTGAGCTCTAGCTTGTAGTCATCTTGTTGCTATTCCTTGCCAAACTGAAAGTGCAGGAGCTCTTCCAAAGCTGTCAATGATCTACATATCTGTGAAGCTATCTCAGCAGATACCAGTGAAGCTCATGTTAAAAAAGCTCCTCCTGCAGACTAGTTGATCCCCACCTCCAAGAGTGCCCTGCTTCCATAGGATTTTGTATAGCAGTAACCAGACAAATTTACTAAGAGGGAAAAACAGAAAGATCTTTTGCTTCCATCTCTTCTCTCCGGTAACAGAGGTCAGGGCCAAGGACCTGCCTGGGACTTCTGGATGTCCAAAAACCTTAGACAAATCATCAATGTACACACACATGCAATTCAAGCATGTAGCAAGTATAATGTATCCTGGACACATCACACATGCAAGGCAGTTGATCTGGGCACAGGCTGGCCATCTGCTCAGTGCATAAAAAGCAGATCCAGAACATGTCTGAAGCACTAGAAAGTTGGTACATGACATAAAAGCCAGGAGATGATACTTCCACTTTACATGAGGCAGTCACATACACACATCCTTTTCTCCATCTGCACTCCACGAGACCCAGGATCCCATGGATTCATACTATGAAAACCAGCATACGTATGGAAAACAAAACCTTCCCCATACACAAACATTTGCATTCCTAAAAGCAAAAAGAATCCTACAGCTCCAGATACAGCCTACTCTTACCCCATCCCACAGAGCAGATCAAATACAATGAAAGCAATTTAAAACAAGTCTAAATCAGTTATTGTCTGGGTTTTATCATGGCTTTGCTATTTTGCCTGTCTTAGTAGACTCTATCCTCTTGTGTATTTCCTTCCTCCGAAAAGGATTAATTCCCTTCCCCAGGTGAATGAGCTCCAGAAACTCACTAATTCAGCAAGGCACATAGCTGTGCTGCTTAGATGCAGCTGATGAAAAAGGAAGGTTTTTCTTAGAGACTGGAAAAAAACCATACACTTTGCATGGGAACAATAAGAGGTTGATAATAGAAAGGGAAAGAATTTCTCTCAAGGTTTCTGCTATTTTCCCGGCCCCTTCCCCTGCTTTCAGGAAAGTGTGGGTGATCAAAGGAGAAATCACGATGCAGGAAGCAGTCAGTCTGTCTGAAGTCTCCACCTCAAGAGTGGAATATGGTATCTTGACTACACTGCAAGGGCATTGGCTGATCTGGCAGATACACCAGTTATTCAGAGTGGATCACAGCTTGCAACTGAGGAGCTAGAGATTCCCAGGACAGTCAGGGAGGATTAGCAAACAGCAACCATAACCAGCACCTTTGTGTACTTTTAATTAAAAACAGACATAAAATGCACTCATAAAGAAATAAATTCTATGGAAAATAAAACCAAACTATGCTGACCAATTGCAGGTAAGAGCTGTTCTTCCAGGGTCATGGAGAGGGTGTTTGGACCCCTGGCCAGTAATTACAGCTGTAACTCACTCCAGATGTACAGATCCTAAACGAGTGCCAAAAAAATAAAGGGAGCTATTCTCTAACTAACAGTGGTTACGTAGTTACCATTGCATTTCTAAAGTTTAAGCAGCATGTATTTGACCCATCCATTTGCTTGTAAAATGTGTATGTCAATACACAGCAGCAGAACGCAGAACCAAACTTAACAATACACTCAAGTGAAACTAAACACGCATAAAGCACTTATTCAGACACCGAACAGCTCATAAGAATACGTTTTATCCATTGTAAACCTTTCCACGACTTTTAAAAGAAATGAAAATGGCTGTTCACTTGAGAGACTCATTTTGTAGCTGCAACTCACTGGAACATACTGGGCAGAGGTATTTGAGCATGTGTCTCAAATGAATGTACGTGGATATATCAGAATGCCTGGTAAGCTTATTTCAACACACAGTTCAGCACTGCAAAACGTTTAGAGCTATGCAGTTCATCCCAGCAAATGCTAACAGAGCTCTATATATCACAAACTGGAGAAAACCCACAGGAAACGGGTATTAACACATATCCTATAAGCATTCAGCTGTAAGAAACTTTTCAATCTTTTGGCTTTAAAAATCATTGTGGCAGAGGAGCAAAGCCTACCAAGCTTGTTTCTCAGTATTAACGGTGTTGAGGAACAAAGGAAACATTTTTGCCAGGTTGTGTTTTATTTCTCTAACAATCAGAAGTATAAATAAAGCTCATAATTTTCAGTATTCAAATTAACTCAGCCAGACATGGTTTAGAACAGAGTTAAAATACATGACAAAATCCACATGATAAAAATGCATCACACAGTTCTGCAGTTTATCACATGGTTATTATGGCACCACATAGAAATTGCATGTCTCAGTTAACCAGACACTGTAAATGGAATCTGCAATATCCTAGCAAGTGCCCTTAATATGATTAAAAGCAGTTACATTCTTAAATATCATCCTCTATAGGATCAAGTTTCTACAAGTTTACAGAAAAACTCAAAACCAAAACAAACCCGAACAACCCACAGGCTTATTTTATACTATGCTCCAATAATTCTTTGGCTGGTCAAGCTCAAGTTTGCAACCAGTTACTTTAGTTGCTTCTTCACACTTATGCATTATGCCCAAGCTAAGAAGCCTTCCCAGGCTGGGGAACTATGGAAGGTGCTGGCACACCGTAGCAGCACTACAGAAGCCACCAGAATTCAGCAGTTCATTAGAGCCACCTGAGAAGCCACCCATGCTGTGCATGGCTCCAGCACAACAACTTCTGGCTGCTCCTGAACAGCTCTCTTCAGCACCTGCATTATCCTCCCCCTTCAACATTCGGGGTAACAGAATCCTCCTATTGACCCAAGCGAGGCATAAGGTTTCACAAGTAGATATAAAATGAGCAACCTGGCAGTGAAGACTGAAGTGAGCAGTCTGCATTCTCTGGCTAGCCATAATAAAAAAATGACCAGTCTTCAACGACAGTGGGGTTGGAACTAGATGTCTTTAAGGTCCCTTCCAACCCAAACCATTCTGTGGTTCTATAACATCTTACAGAATACTTCCCCACTTTTATTTAAAATTATATATATCAGGTTACGATACACAAACAAGTTATTGCACATCAGCTGCTCAATTATTACTCTTCATTTGAAGATTGTTCCTTAATGTACTCCTATTAACTGTTTACTCCTTTCATCACCATCACTTTGTAAGGTGCACTGTGGTACCCCCAGAGTAACAGTAGTCACATTAAGAGTTACCATGGAGAAACCAACATCTGCCCAGCAATATTTACTACTCTCTATTTTTTATGCTGGAGTCTAAGAGTGCTAACTTAATACCACAGCAAATAAAATTTCTCACAGCAGCTACCGGGTTAGTAAAACTTCAATGCCCAAAACATTTATGCACTACGCAGGAAAATCACCAAGCATCCGTACTTAAGGTCCAGTCTAAATGAGGAGGAGACCATTGTCCTCCTACAAGGGCATTTCTAAGGAAAAGTAATTTCATCTTAATCCAGAATACCTTCCTGCTCCCAGAGTGCTCAGCTGACTGCTTCACTAGTTTGGTGCAGTAAAATTATTGAGCTAGTAATAGCAAAATCTACTCTCTAGAGTTTGAATAGAGTGATGTGTTCATATGTGGCATGAAACAGACAAGAAAGTAATGACAGTATAATGCCATGCAGCATGTTTAGTTTTCCAGTTAAACTTAAGATTGAAAAATTATTTTCATAGTTATTAAACAGTAGACATAATTTTCAACATTACAAAAAAATGTCACTTCCTTTTGGCTGAGTAACTACCAAAAGAAAGAGCCGGTGCAGCAACATATTCACTAAAAGTAATTATATGTCAAAGTCCAGTCTTTCTACAAGCTTTCACCACAGAAGTTAACAAGGGGAAAATAATGTCTGCTAATGCACCTTAATCTGCTCTTGCAAAAACAGTCAGAGCTCCAAATTCTGGAGCTCTGTAGAAACACACTTATCTTTATAGAGAAACCTCTCAACCGACAACAAGTATTATTAAAAATGGTATAAATAGAATGAAGGCAAATTTATTGTTTCCATTCCAGTGATGAATACTGGAAAAACAAAGAGGTTAATATGGATACAGAAAGCAAAAAATTCTATGGATCTCCAGCAGATAGGATTTATTCCTTCAAGACACGGAAAAAAAATTAACATGCCCTAAGTAACAACAGTTCTCTTGTTACAAATTTTCCAGAAGTTACATGAATGATACAAAAGTTTTAAAACAAATTTTAAGGTTATGCATTTCCAGAAGAATTACTTCTATTCTGTGCCATAAGCATAAGCTTGAACATTAACACGATTTTTTTAATTTACAAAGAAATCCTTGCCTCCTGTGGCTGCAAAGAAAATGCTACATAATTGGCATCATGGTCTTTATGTATCTAGCATTCCTTTAGCTGTCTGCCAAACCCAGAATGAAGTATGGTCTACGGCTTTTCCCCACCGCCTACTACAGGGTAAGGGGCAGGGAGAAAGACTACTCCCAAGGAAATGGTGACTTTTGTTTTCCTCACCAGCACAATACCGTACAGCATTCCCTCCTCAAAATGGATGTTGCTGAAACCATTAGCATAATCTCAATGCTGTTTTGATAAGCAGGTATCACAGCTATTAAGCCTGAACTACCACAATACTCCATTCATAATTCTTATTGCTTCTCGTAAACAACAGAGGGTATTTGGACAGGAATTACATTACACTAAGGGCATTTTAGGTAGGCAAACATGCATTTATTCTCACAAATTATGCTTACTAGATTATACCCATAATATATTGTGCTCAGCCAGTAAAATGGAGGACACTAGCTAAAAACAACAGCTAAGTTCTTATTGTGGTAAACAAAGGAAAAGTATACATTCAATAAAATAGCTAATCTACAAGATTTTGTTAGAGAAATTTCTAAAGTGTTCAAAGAAATGTAAGGTACAGGAGAAATTTGTTAGTTAGTTCCACCAAATCTGAAAACTTACCATTTTATCTAGGTGCTCAATGGATCTATAAATTTCTCCTTGGGATTCATCATAGTAACTGTAACGGAACCTCTGACCTTGAAACAAAAATCATGTATAAAATAAAAAAGGGAAAAATCGTAGCTAAAACACTCCCTAGTACTTACTAAATAATTTCAATTATAATACTTTTAAAGTAGTAATCTTCATTTATTTTATACTTTTTAGCTCCACTGAGGAAATTTTAGGGCAATCATCAAAGTAGCAGCCCAGAAATGAAGAAAAAAATACATGATGGGCAGCTATATTCCTAAAGAAAAACCTATGTAGAACTGACACTGCAGTATCACTTATCAATTGCCTGCTATTGCCTTGGAATCCAATTCTATAAATTAAAAAGTAAAACAACATTTTGTTTCACTATCCTTCTTGACAAAATCAACCCTGGAGTCGGGCTACTTCTCTTGCACAACAATACCCACAGTAAATTAAGGCTAAAAGAAGTTTGTGATAATTCAATGAACAGCTCTAAATGATTCATTAGCCACAACAGAACCCATGTCATTCTTGTATACTTCCACCTATTTCACAGTTCAAAGATGATTAAAATATGCACTTAATTATGTAAGTTGACCAAAGATGACAATGAAAAAAGGAAAGAAGGTCTGTTGTGTAACACAAAACATATCATTCTGAAGCAGTCTCTTTTCCAGCTATTATCACACTTAAAAGAAAAATAAAGTGTTAAAGCAGGACAGAAGTCAAAGCTTCTGGAGTCTTTATAGTTCTGCCACCAAGATGAACTGGGATAGCTCTGGTCAATTGGCATAAATACTCCATCCTCTACCTTACCCAGCAGCAAAGCATACAAAGTTTATTTCCATCAGAGGGATGTTGTCATGTCCAGTGAATTTTTAGCTAATTAGTTTTGCAAGTTGCTTTGAGGTGCTTAGAAGAAGAGTAAAAAGAGCAAGAAACTTCAGACAATTATTTCATTGCAACAATAAAGAGAGGTATATAAACCCATACACCTTCACCATTTATTTCCTCTACTACACTGAAAACACATTACCACATTAACATTTTTCATCTATTGCTCTAGATTAAAAGAAGAAAAACCCTTCTTACTTTACAAAAGGCATTTAAATTTCAAAGATGCATTTACCAGAAGTTAAAATGTTCAATATTTAATAAAACACATTATTTGAAAATCACTATGAAATATTCATCATGCTGTTAAAATGAAGAGATGTGAAACTTACCCCAATGGCAAAAGTCAGAAGAAACCACAAAGAGGTTACTAGGATCAGCTAGGTATTTACTGAAGAGTTTTCCAAATTCCTGCTCTTTTGACTCACTCAGTGCTCCGACCAACACAGGAATAATAGTAAACTCATCCTTATGGCTTATAAGCAAAAGAAAAGAGGTTGTAATTCAAGTAACATCTAAAGTTTTTACAGGGCTTGCTAACTGAAATTGCAGAATGTTTTAAAAGGGCACTACTGAATTGAAGATACAGTTAATTTAGTAAGGTCATACTAGGAAGCTGGTTTAGAACCTGAAGCTACTTCAGTTTCAGAAAACACTCCCCACCCCCCCAAACAGTATTTGTCTCTGCTCCAGTGTGAAAACATCAGGCAAACAGAAAGATAAGACACAAGGAAACCAGCAATTACAGTAAGAATTAAACTCTTCCTGTATAGATGCTGCGCAAATGTTGGGTAATTTTTCAACATATGTGAAAATGCTCAAAACAGCACCCAGATTGTATACTGATACACCAGAAAAAAAAATCACAAATTCTAGAGAATTAAAAAAAAAAATAAAAAATAGTATGTGTGTTGGTAAATAACCACCACAAACTGACAATATCACCTTTAAAATTATTCAAAGTACTCATCTGAAATAGCAAATGTCAGCAGAAACCTGATTTAAGAATCAGTATTAAATATTAAGGCTATGAATAAACTTAAAATTCCACAGAAAACACCTATTAGTATTTGAATGTCTTTCAGAGATGCATTGCAAAAGGAAAAAAACCAAAAAACCGAACAAACAAAATACAAAACAAAAACCAAACAAACCAAGTCATCCCTCCCCAAATAGAACTAAAAACTACGATTGAGAAAGATCCATGAAGGCATGTCTAATATTAACTATATTAGGTCAATACAAACATACAAGTTTGTTTACAAGGGGTGTTCCAATTTTATCATGCAGGTGTTTGCTCCACTCAGTTTCTGTTACAGCACCTAATCCTAGTCTCTGTCCTGATCCTCCCCAGAAGTTTTATTGGTGGGTGTGGAGTGTGAGTATTATACACCATATAGGGTATTATATACCATAAAGGATATTATTACTTCCTACTTCACATGTAGTTCAAATATTTGATCCACATAATGCTCATTTTCGTAGAAATAGTAGTTAGCCCTAGTACCTTTCCATGGCTTTAGCAGTGTAAGGCAAATGCATTTCAATACTGTGTTCATCTTCATCTGTCTGTAGGGACATACGCTCAAACATTCCAGTCTTCCACAATTCTCCATAAACTGAAATGAATTAAAGATTAATTTTTACTCCTTAAAAAAAACAAAAAAAGCCAAACCAAAACAAAACCCACAAACAGAAAAATCAACCAACAAAAAACTGTAAAGCAAGTTACAGTGCATCTGAACAAGCCTGATATAACAAATTACTTGCCTATACGGGCTGTCATCATAAATCACTTAATTTTAATCCTAACTTTACAAACATATTCAAGTCAAAGATAAACATAATTGATTCAGTTTACAAAATAAATATGTTACTATGTTGAGAAAGATTTTCAGTTATGATAAAAAATTTAAGTAACAACACCCCACATTTAAAATATGCATGTATTTTCCCAGTCAGTAAATCCTTATGTTCACAAACTATACCATTATGTTTAAATAAATTAATAAATGCTGATCAGCTGAGCAAGTCCTAGATGTATTACTATTTAATAAAATTTATTATTAATTGAATCACGAAATCTAGAGAAAGCAAAAATAATTAAGTAAGCCACATTTATAAGTTATCTTTTCGACCCTCAAGTGCGCTCAGTGGTATGCAGAGTCATCTCTACATTTTGAAAACTCTCCACTAGATGAATAATTTGAAATGGAACTGTGCCTCCTTCTCCACTTCATAAAGGAGTTCTACAGAAACAAAAAACATTTGTTACCTAAGGAAATTTCTGTAAGCACTGTGTAGAAAGCCTGAACTAGCTTGCTTTATCACAGTCACGACAAAATAGCAACACATCTGCACTACTTAGCCCTTCTGAAAAAGATACTGTATTATTTAGGTATACCTCAAAACACATGAAAGTCAAAATAACAGATTTATCCTCCTTGCACCTTTAAGTTTACTCCAAAAGATTGGTATTCCATGGACTAACAGTTTTTAAGTTCCACAGGTACTCTGCCAGTTAAAAAGTCACATGCAGTAATGCATCAAATAAAAGCAGTTTTTTGTTCCTCTGTTATTCCTCAATCAAAAATAAACTCAAATCAACTACAAGCAGTATCTTTCTTTGCTAGATTCTTTGCTAGACAGATTCCCTCACAGAATAATGGAGAAGGTGTTTAGTGGGCTATTATTCAAATGTGACACCTTCTAATTTTGAGATTCCTTTCAAAGGCCAATTGTCGAGAGGCATACAGAACAGAAAAGATAAGCAAAGACTGAGAATTCTTTACTTGCAGGAGCAAGAGAGACATTAAGGTTATAATACAGAAGTGCCTGCAACCACCAGAATCCTTCAGAAGCTAGCTTTCATTTCAGTAAAACAGATTCATACTTGTATGCCACTTTAAAGCAATGAAGTTCCCAGCAACAACAGTCCTCAGCACTGCAGTAATACTCAAGCACTACCAGTTAATACTCAAGCTACAGCAATCTTCAAGATGCAAGCTTTATCATGCACTTACTCTTTTGGTCAATTCGGAGATCATACAGAGGTGTTCTATAAATGTCCACACTGGAAAGTGCACATCGGGAAAGGGGCACGTGGTGGGAAGGCCCAAGAATGAAAATTTTTCGGCTACAACAGTTAACACAAAAGCCCACAGTTCAGACAACTGCAATTGTACAGACACTTGGTTTAGAGTAACAAGTTCAATAAAAATGTACAAAATGATACTTTCTGGTGGTTACCTGTAGAGTTTTACTCTGCTGTGTGTAAAGACCACAGATCAGCCCATGGTCTAGTCTTGCTCGGTATCTCAGAAATGATCATGGAATCTGTTCAGTAATGCTTCGATAGCCTTAAACCTCTTAGGCAGGTTGCATATCAGAGGGCACACATCAGCTAGAAATCTGTCTGACTGGACTCATATGGAGGCTGAATGATGTGTTACAGCCCCTTAGAAGATTTTTGGAATTTCTCCTTGGAATAACACAACCTTCAGTTACATAACACCTTCAACAACTACAGATACATACCCTCAAATTAGGATTATGGATTTACCATCTATTAAGAGCTTTTCACTTATATACTTGATTAGCTTTACTTCGTATTTCACTACATACAAATCTAAGTCATTCTCAAATGCTATTTTTATCCAGCTGTTGCATCAACAACAGGGACTTGGACCTGAACATTCGTAGCTTTAGCCGACACTGCAAGTTTTCACACGTCACCATGATGTTATTTCATCAAGTCCTCAGTTCCTGGCTCTTGATTAGATGTTAAGGGTCTCCTGCCACAGGACTTAAAGAAAAAAACAAAACACAACCTATAGGAAATTCAGCTTTTCAGATTCAGGATCATATCACCTTGTTTCTGGCACTGAACTAAAGGGGTGGGAGATACATAAAGATTATCCCCCCCGCTTTACATGTGAAGTGCTGTAGCAAGGTATAGTAAAATACTGAAACTTTTTACAGAGCTCATAAAAGCAAAATATCCAAACGTGCAATAGTTCAGCTGAAAGCTGAATTGTAAACTTCCCATGTGGTGAAACAGCAAATGATCCAGAAAGCTCAATCATGTCAGTGAATCTGGGGAATGCAACTTGTTCTAGAAATTTTAGAGAAGCTAGTTATGTGTCACACCATAAAGCTACTTTCACTTTGATCACAATAGTTTAGCAAGAATCAGAACCATTTTCTTCGGAAAGCATTACAACATGTTATCACATAAGCAACTGATAGACACAGCCAGTTTTTATATTAACATTTCAAAATACATACTTTAAGTAAATACTGGAGATGTTTTAAATTTTTGTCATTTAAAAAACTGTTGCAGTCAGCAGAACACATAAAATCATATTATTTTAACAATAACTGGATTAACATTTTCAGAGGCAGGTGGAGACTACAATACAGTGTTGGGGTTTTTTTTTAATTTCTCTTTTTTTAAGCAGTTGTGCTGTTAGAAACACAAGTCCATTTAAAATCATTACAACTAACTTTCACTGTCTTCAAATATTATACACACACACACTGGTCACTTTCTCCACAGCAGAAGAGAATCCTGGTAGCATTCAGCCCATAATCCTGCACTGAAAAACCAATGCAGAATCATGATCAAATATTTTAATATACTTAAACACAACCTCAAAAAAAAAAAAAAAAAAAAAAAGCATCAATATACAAAGGCACCCTGTGACCAGTTAAAAAACAAAACAAAACATCTTGGGCTTTTATAAAAGCAGTGGAACATCAAGCAATCAAGTAAATTAAATGTTATTACCTGCAAAAAGAACAGGGTTAACCCCCTCCCTTCTAAAAAGTTAGTAACCAAAACCTCAATAATTTTTTAAAATACTGCTTTACATTTTCAATTTCAACAATAACACATTATTTTTTTCTTTTTTAACATCCAAACAATTTGAATATTTATGATGTTAAAACAGAACAGATGCATAAAAGACTAAAAAGTACAAAATTAAAATTTCTTAGAGAACTGCAATGGCATTGTCTCACACTTTGTAAAGAAAAACTTTAATACTTACGTAATATTAGGATCCACTTGTTTGTAAGCGTGGGCAGCACAAGATCCACAATAGGTATACCCCGCATGGCTGCAAATCAAGGTGTACAAAACATTAATGTGTTAAATATTGTTTAACATCTTAAATATGTTGATATTGCTATTAAATGATAATATCTTAAATATTATTTGTCCCTGATGAGCCAGAAATAGCAAGAGTGATCCAAAAAACAACTCCTGAAAAAGCTGGAGAGCACTGTTGCAATACCAAATACACAAGAGGTATGTGCTGAAGAACTACAAGTGACCATTCACTTGAAAGTTAGTAAGACAGACTCCAGATCAAAGCACCTTTTGTTACATGTAAAAGATACTGGTAGGCAGACTACACAACTGCGTATTGTCAGAAGCTCATGATAATGCTAAGAGTGCAGCCAGGGGACAAGTGAATAGCAAGCTGCTGAAGAAAGCTCTTCTAACCATACACTAGTAACTGTGTATAACGACAGTAGAGGAGTCTGGCAAAGAAAGAACTACACATTACAGCAGATAAACAGAGAATAAAAATGCTCTGTCACTGAAGAAGAATACCTCAGCAGTACAATGAATGGACACAAGGAAAGGAGTGGAATGCAGCATGGTAGCTTTTACTGCAGAGAATGCAAGATACATTTTGTTGTTTCCTATCACTCTGGGCTGGAGCCTTTCTCAACCTGTGTTCACTCTGAAAACACTCATAATTATTCTGACTGCTTGTTTCAAATATCACACCTAAATCTTAAGGCCCATTCCCTTCAAGACTGTTAAATCCAGATGAAGATTACTGTGCTAAAAGCATTAATTCCAGATAACGTTCACTCCCCAGGGTCCCAGGCCAAGTGGTGAACAGCACACACTCAGCAGCATGGTCCCAGCAGAAGGCCATGCCCACATTGCACAGCATTTGGGCCAAATCACCTCTGGAACACCTGTGCCTCTAGGTCAATAGTTATCATTTGAGCCAAGTATGTGCAACAACATAACTACAGTTTTTCAGTATTACACAATAATACTGAGAATTGTACATGCTGCAAGCCCTGGGACATACAGGATGTTGAAGTTACAAGTTCCCCACCACTGCAGGATTTCGTATTTACTTATATGTACATATGCTCACACGCATGTATATTCATCCACAGAGTGATACGTGGAGCAAACTATCCTCAAAATCACCCTGGGTTTGTTTTTTTGTTTTTTACTTCAGTGTCACTTACCTCACTCATTCTAAAGAGCTCAGAAAGGCACTAACACGGACACTGGGATTTGTGAGCTGGCAAGGTATGTTATTTGACAATGTCAGAAAAGCCTTCTGAAAGGTTTCCTCTGCTTCAGGTTTCTTCAGTATTTCACAAAAATACTATTAGCCATATCCCACTTTACAGGTAGGAAAACAAAGGCATGGTTAATGAAACAATTTTGTGAGACCACTGGAGGTCTCCAGCAGTTCTGGAAAAAGAACCCAGGTTACCTAATCTGCAGCTGAAAGGGCTCTTTCCTGGCATTTCTGCAAGAAAGACTAAGGCAGATTTGGGACAATTTCTTCTGCACATTCAAGACTATTATGGAATACTTCAAACATTATGTTAGTACAGGAAAAACATCACATTCAAGGTGGTGCTTCTAGTGTTTCCTTCCAACTCATAATAAATTGGAATGACCAACATACTTCTCATTATGTGTCTCAGCTATCTTCAGGAAATTGAATTCTACTTAAATAGTTCAGATGATCCCTATTTCTGCTGTGGACAAAAACCACTCAAACAAAACCAAAACAAAACTAAAAGAAAGAAAAACAACAAAACAAAAAAACCCCACCCAAACTAAAATGACAAAAGTAAACCATTTTGGATAGCCGAATAATGTTTCACTACTTTTTCAGTTTAAGCTTTGTTAAGTTTTGATATGGGGGGGATGCTGGAGTTTTGTTTTTGCATAGGATTTTTTTTTAATAGCTGCTCTACACTAGAAGTGCATTGAAAGAGCTGTCCTTTTAGACTACCACTTCACTAATACACCTCCTATCTGTCTTCCTGAATCACAAATGAATGTTATGTCTGCAGTCCATCAGCAAAAGGAAACTAATCATGTACCAAAATTTGCACAGATTTCTTCATTCTATGCCATATCCAAAATACTTATTTAGCAATCATGCAACATTCGTTTTAGCTAAATACTAGCTTTCAGCAGTTTTCAAAATCACTCAAAATAAAGAAGCATTTAACCAATTAAGTATTATATAAACTAAAAGCAGATTTCAAACTTACGGTGCAATAATGGCTCTAGCAGGTCTTTTTGTGGACTGTACTTGAGAAAGCCAACCTTCTAGTTGTGCATTCAGCTGGGGTCCTACGAAGAAACAAGGAAATACTAAGGCTATAAAACAAACAAACAAACATATAAAATACCTCAAGAATTAACAAATAACATCTGAAAGTCCAACAACTTTAAAATCATCTTAAGTATCAAAGCCTGTGTTTAAATCTCAAAAAACCAAAAGTAAACCCAACATGTCTGTAACACTGAGGGTTACAGTAGGAAAGTTTCAACCTTCTAGCCCAGAAGTCCATTTATTGCACATTCAAACATACATTTACTGGTTCTTGCTCTGTGGACTGATGCACATACCATTTCATCATCAGAAAGAATGGCTGCTGATCTCAAAAGAGGCTAATAGGTGGTTGATTCCTCTGGTAACTGAATTTGCAGAATTCAGGACTAAAAAGTTAAGACAACATATCCCAGAAAGCCCAACATGGGAAGGTCATATAATACAAAAACCTTACATACAGACATGATAGCCAACGGCTATGGTTTAATCCTTTGTTATTATCCAGCAAGAATGAGAGCAGAATACAAAGCACCCTGTAACCTGAAAAAAGATCTACAAATACACAGGAAGATGCTGAAAGTGAGAAGACACCATGCTTATACTAATGCCTTACAACTTCTGATGAATCAACATATACTACAAGTACATCAACTTCCTGGCAACATTAAGTTTGGTAACTGATCAATCCAGTATTTAACTTTTTTTGGTTTTTTACTAAATTCTATACCTCAGCAAGTGGCAAATATTCTCAATTCAATTAGCTGACAGGTGATAAAAACGCCTTCTAGAAATAAAGTAAAAAGCATACCCTAAAAAACCCAAAAAAACCATAACATTTTTATTACTTCCCATCACAAAGAAAACATTTGATATAAAGATATTCCTGAAGAAGCAAGTCTGGCAAGTACAGTACAACATTATTTATATTAAAAATACAAAACAAACTTTCAAGTAAAACTCATTCAGCTGCTATTGTTACAAGCAACACATCATTAAAAAAAATTAAAAACAGATGCACTTTTTCAGTTGGCATTATGCTTTTGACAGATCTGTATGTCAGCAGACTTTATCTGTCAAGTATGGTGCAGTAAGCCACTTTTCTTCCACCATGCGCACTGTAGATTTCAGTATCTTCCTGATGCAGGTGTAAACCCACCAACTGCCAGGAAAAGTCAAACCCAAATTAAATACCTGAAACTGTTTCACAGCTACATTCCAAACAGTCCAGATGTCAAGCTGACAGGTCTCCAAAAAGCTGACAAGAACTACAGAGAACCAGAGCAAAGATGTCAACTTCTGCAGAATCCAATCAGTCTCTCACCAGTGATAGTCACAAAGCTTTCTCTAGAAAGCCTGAGGGGCGGGAAGTGTCAAAGTCACCAGGTTTTATACAGAACTGTTTCATGGAAAAAAAAAAACAAAACAACTTCTGTGCTTGCAATGAACCTTACCTTCTAACATGAAGAAGGTGAACTAGGGCAATGCCATTTCCCTAAGGCTACCATCACCTTGAATGTCTCAGTTGCTATCTACACCTCTATCAAGGCAGGCAAAAGAGTGACATTTGTTAGCTACTGTCACTCCTGTAACACGGCAACTTTGTGAAATGATGAAATTGTCAAAAACAAACCAAACACCAACTTTGGTCTGCTGCTCTGTTGCTTGGGGAAATTACAAGAAGCAGAGAGATGCAATAACAATAAGGATAATGACATGTTGGAAAATAAGGCTGCTGGGGAAGCTAAGTAAAAATAAATAGATCTCTATTTTCACCCTCTTTTTAAGGTACTAGGAGACTAAGGAAACAGCACCCTATTACAGTCTTACCACTTTTATTTTTTAAGAGTGAAGACACAAGTCACTAAGGACAAAGTACTTCCTGAATGAAGCTCTTTGGGAGAACGCAATTATCTCCCCCACCCCTTACTACCCAGTGACTTAAACAAAACATGACTCTCTCCCACCTGAGCACTTCTCAAAGAAGATGATCCACAGGCCGCACAACAGCAGAAGGGCCAGAACTTCCCACGTAAAGCAAGACGGCCTTGGGACTCTTTC